CATAGTAGGTAATTTAATTAGAGATTTTTGGACATTTTATTTTCGAAGTTAATTTTATTATAACAAAAGTGGTTACAATACTTGACTTTTTAGGTCATTACATAGAGTTGAGATATCGGGTTGTCACATTTTGGCCCTAACACTATTTTGGGCCGAAAACTCCAAACTCTTGGAGTTTTGCGACTCAAATGTTGTACCATTAATCCTAGAGTATACTTCCTTTCGTTTATTCTTTCGAAGACTAAATATTTATAAATACCCAAACAGACTTTAAACCGAGCTAAAATTAGCATAAATGAATTTGACTTTTAATTGAAGTGTTTGATTGTAGAGTTCATACAAATGAAAATTTCGGGTTGTCACTGGTAAGCTAGTAGTGATGATGGATCGTAACTGAAAAGTGTATTTTGTTGGAAGGGTTCAGAGCATTGGGGTTGTTAAACACTCTAACATGAAGAGAAAACCAATGGCTACAAGCCTCTCAAATTGTCTTATTCTTAATGGCAAATAGTTGTCATTCACCTAATGTCGTTGGCGAAAAATCCATCTAGGTGCGGTGTTTGTCGATGGTAATATGTCCCACGTCGACATGTCAACGACAATAATTGTTTTGTTTTCTAAGCATCAAATACACATTAACTAGGTAGTGGAAAACAATTAATAATTTACATAAGTGTACACACACCCTAAGATGTAGGTTTTACTAGTCTTAGAAACATACTTTAAAATCAAACAAAAAGAATGATAGATTGCATACCTCTTGATCTCTTGATTGAGACCTTGTGATTGACAACATTTGAAATGGATGAAGGACCCAAAGCAGAATCCTTCTAATGTAGTCATATCCAAGACTCTAATAAGCAAACAAGGAAAACCCTAGTGAGGGTTAATCGAAATTTCTATATCCCAAGATAGGGGATATAATTTTCAACTTATGGAAATGAAGAGATAGAGGGGGAATGAAATTAGAGTCTTAGGGATCCATAGATTTGATCCCAATCATCCTTAAGCCAGTCATATTCCTAAAGATAATCTTTATATTTTTCAAAAACATATCTTATCCTAATCCTTTAAGAGAAAATCATCTCTATCATTCCTTTTGGATGGTATTAAAATACTCAAATTAATCTCAAGGATGTAATTAATATTCTACTACAACTATTAAATTAATCACCAAAATAATTTCAATTAATTTATTAATTATTTAATAAATTAACAACTTATTTTCTCCAATTCCTTATTGTTAATTGTGTCATAAGGCCAACACAAGATGTAACAATTGGTGAAATAAGTCAAAGTTCGCTGGTCAAACCAATGCGAACCCTACTATGTTAAGGCCTATCTTGTATTGTTATATGTTTTATGTGCAATTGAAGCTATATTAATTATATTTGCACTCCGATTTCTCTAGTTTGCTCAAGGTTGACAGTCATTAACAAAAAAAAATCCCCAAAATAAGTATTATTTAATGCCCTAAAAATACAATTTATGCATTGACTATACTTGATAGATATAGATAAGCAATTTGGATAGAATACGTTCTCTTGACTATGTGGATATAAAGAACATCCAAAACAGAGATTATATGAGGAAGTTATGCTCTTTTTTAAGATATAGAACCAATATTTATCTTATTTTCATGAAACGAACACTACACTAAACATAATACCCTCCTAATCACCAGGACGTCGATCTAACAGATCAATAAGCATATCAAACAAATACCAATATACAATCCGAGAAATGGCCGACCTTGGTGCCTTAGACCTTGTTGATACAATGAGAATAACTCACCTCGCAAATGCCGATCTGAACTAAATAAACAAACTCCCGAACCGCTATCTCACCGGAAATCCCGAACTATCACATAATAAATACCAAGTCATTACAACATAACAATCTTGACTAAGGGTTCACTCAATCCATCATGTCCATCCCCTTTTATTGGGCCCAAGCCTAATTCCGAGTCCATAACCTTGATAGTGTTTATGCAAGGCCCATTATTGGCCGAATTTACTAAATTGGGCCCATTATTGACCCAATTTACAAAAGTGGGCCCAATTTCCTTATTGGACTTAACCCCATGATCCACTATCAATAAAACTGCTCCAAATCATATCTACTCAGAAAGTCCAACAAGGCCCAAACCATACAAGCCCAAAAATTAGCCCAAACACAAAGCCCAAATCACCAAAAGTCCATCGAAGACGTACGCTGGGCGTACTCGAGTCTCGTATTGACTGGAAAACTGGGTCATTGATCCAGTACGTTGGGGTTATAGAAACTTACGCTGTGCGTACACAGGGTTTCACCAAAACCCTAATAAGTGCTTAATGGCTTCAGCATTTAAGCCCAAACTCCAGATCCAGTGACCAAATGTGCCTAGGACTCATAAAGTCTCGAACTTTATCACTTTAGATGTCCAAAAAGTTCTTAATCCAAGGTCTTAATCCATTAATACCCTCCAACTACATGCACGAGACATATTAAGCCATTAGGACCTTGTTTTATCACTTAAAACCTCTCCAAGGTCCAGAAAGGACAACTTATCTCGTCTAAAATGCATCATGCACTAAATTGGGGTTTTGGGACAACAAATGGTTCCATAATGCTAGAAAGGCTAGATCTATGTTCTACATTCATAAAGTTTGAAGCTTTGTACCTTCTGGAGCTTCTAGGGCACAACACAACTTCAGATCTACAAGCCAATCTCCTTCTTCAACTATTTGTTGCAATGGATTCACCTTCAAGAGCTCAAAATACCCACCAACTTACTCACACACACAAGAACTAGGGTTTGGGGACATTTCTGGAGGATGGATGTTGAGAAGGAGGAGAGAAAATGAGCCATAAGGATGTTTATATATCCCCCAACCCGAGATATTAGGGTTTTCATCCTTTATGAGTACGCCCAACGTACAAAAGTGTACGCCCAGCGTACACAACTATACGCCCAGCATACTAGGGCGCGCCCTAGTACGCTCATCGTACCCTTATGTACGCGCAATGTACTACTCCTAGACCCAAAATTACAATTTAGCCTTAGGCTCTTCATGACTTTACCCTTCCATCCCGAGTGACTACAAATGACAAAACTTGGGATGTTACACTAACTACATGGAGGTATCATTTATATGTAAGTGACGAAAAATGTTGTTTTTGGTAGTCCAGAATGTCTGTCCGAAACGTGTGTATGTGACTCCGTATTGTCACATCAAAATACTAAGCTGACAATCAAATTTAGATTCTTGTTTTAGACCTACTCCGGAATAGAACTCCGGAATGTATGAATATTCTTGTTTTAAACCAAAACTCCGAAATGAATATCCCGATTTCAGAATGTTCTATTAAGGAGAAAGTTGTCATTTTACCAAAAAAAACAATGAAAACATAAATTGTTTTTTTTTTGGAACAACAGAATTTTATAAAAACTACAAGAAGCTAGAAAAGAAACATTACAACAAAAATTCTAGCAGAAATAAGATTATGAAACCAAAAACTCCAACTAATATTTGTTTTTAAGCACCTACTAAAAATCTAAAAATGTCCTATAAACAACATCAAAAAACATGGTTTTCCTAGGATGAACTGTTCCAAAAATCAAAGAATTTATGAAATTCCAAATACACTAAAATGAAATCATAACCACTATATCAAAAACCTTTCACCACATACTCTTTAAAAAACAGTATATGACCATAAGACAAGAGATTCCACTGAAGGTGACCATAAAACAACCAACTCGATACAACCTATAAAGATATGAATAAATTACTGAAATAGTCCATGTGGTTTGGCTAAAGTTGCGCGTTTGGTCCCTATGTTTTGTTTTGCACTCGGACCATCCCCACGTTTTCTTTTTATTACCCGCCTGGTCCCTGGGTCCGTTAGTCGTCAATTCCAAACGTTAAGTCCCTCACATGCTTCGCACATGAGGGGTATTTTTGTCATTTTATATAAAAAATCTATTAGAACACCCCTAAACTCCGACTCTCTCTATTTTTGAATACGCCCTTTCTTCTTCTCCTTCATTTCGTCTTCTTTGAAGTGTCGATCAACCCTAATGGAAAAAACCTGAAAGTGTGGTGAAGTTATTGTGATACGAAGATCGACTACCAAGAAAACCCTGGAAGACTTTTCCATTGTTGTACTGGAAAGGTAAAGGAAATTTCTTCTTAAGTATATCTATATATCACATACCTTTAACACACACCAAATTACTCAAAATGCAGGGAGCAAAATGTGGTTTCATAGATTAGGTTGATGAGGACAACTTTAATGGTGAAAAAACTGAAAAAGGTATCTCCCTTGATTTGCAGAAGTCATTGGATGAGCTTCAACATGAGAATAGGGCCTTGAGGCTGTTATTAATGTTCAGTTGGGTTTTTTTGTGTCAATTTTAATTTACAAGCTTTAATTTATGCTATCAATGTACTTATCTTTTGTTTCATCAAGGCAGTTTTCTAATGGGATGGAATTTAATGGTTTGTAATGGAATGGAATTGAGTGGTTTGTACTGGAATGTAATTGACTATTTTATAATGGAATGGAATTGAGTGGTTTGTAATGGAATGCAATTAACTGGTTTTCTATTTGAATGGAATTGAATTGAATGGTTGAATAGAATTGAATGGTATTGAATTAGAATGGAATGAATTGAATAATTGAATAAAATTGGATAGAATTGGAATGCAATTAACTGGTTTTCTATTGGAATGGAATTGAATTGAATGATTAAATAGAATTCAATGGTATTGAATTAGAATGGAATGAATTGAATAATTGAATAGAGAATTGAATAGAAGTTGAATGCAATTAACTAGTTTTCTATTGGAATGGAATTGAATTGAATGATTGAAGAGAATTAAATGGAATTGAATTAAAACAAAAACATAGCAACAGATTATAGCACTAATTGTTATACCATAATTGAAAATAGAGATACATTAAAAGTCATACCATATATAGACAACAGGTCCCAAAAGTCATACCATAATTGTTCATAACACAGACACAAAACATAATGACAAATATAACAAACACAAACGATCATAACACCATAATTGGTTCATAACACAGAGACAACATATAAAAACACAATCATAACCTAAGAAATACTCTTCCCTTTCTTCCCAGCCTTCCTTTGTCCTGCTTGAAATTCCATCACATGCACTATGAGTTCCACTTTGCCTACCACCACCTACACTTTGAGCTTTCTTCCCAACATTCCCTTTCTTGCTTGAACTACCATCACCTGCACTTTGACCTTTCTTCCCATCCTTCCCTTTCTTGATTGAACTACCATCACCTACACTTTTAGCTTTATTCCCAGCTTTCCCTTTCTTGCTTGAACTAGTATCACATGCACTTTGACCTTTGCAGCTTCTTTTATTATGACCAAGCTTTTTGCATTTTAAACATGTCACACTCTTGTCCTTCCTTGATGCCCTACCACCCTTCACCATATCTTCTAATTCAACAGCTGATTTCCTTCTTTTCTTCCATGGTCTTCCAATAGGGACATGATGATTAGGAGGAAGCAAAGTGGTTGGACATGGAAACTTTTCCCACATTCTTCTTCCATTAATTGGTTCAATCTTGAAAGAATACATTTCCTTCCAAGTTTTTAACCAGTAAGTAGCATGAACCCATTCTTCAAGTACGCCAACATTATGCTTATTTTTTCGCATGTCCCATATAGCAACAAGGACATGTTTACAGGTTATACCAATGAGTTCCCATTTTCTACAAGAACATGTGTGCTGAGCCATGTCTACCACACATTGGTCCATCCATGGACCACTCACCTAATATTTTACATTCCCACAGAACTTACCCACACATTGAGCTGCATCAGATTTGTTTTTTTCAAGCACACTTGTTGCAGTTGGAGTTAATGGTCCAACAGCCTTATCAATTACCTTTTGGATACTAACAATCCTTAACATAAGGTACTCTCTAATGTACTCAAGGCATGTGATAATTGGTTGGTCGCGTGCTTTCTTAATTTGGTTATTTATGGTCTCACATAAGTTATTCAGAAGCCCATCACAATGAGCCCTCCCTATAATATAAATAAAAAATTATGTAAGAAAGTGAATCATTTGGTAACAATTAACCCAACAAAATAAAACAAACCTGTGAAGTGTGCCCTAGACCAATGTTGAGGTGGAATAGCTTTGACCCATTCGTAGCAGTCATTGTTTAGCTTTCTTAACTCTTCCATAGCATGGTTGAATTCTTGTATTGTTGTTGTACTTGCACAGTTCCACAACATGTCTTGGAACACCTTTCCCCTCCACATTTTCTTCATGTTTTCATGAATGTGTCGCAGACAAAACTTGTATTCTGCACATGGATACAATGTACCAATTGCTTGCAACAAGCCCTGTACAAAAAGTAAACAACATTAGATGTAATGTATACATTGTACAATAAGAACCAAGTCCATTGAAATTACGTACCTTCTGTCTGTCAGATATAAAGGTAAAGTTTGAATTAGCTTGCAAATCAATGTCATCACCCAAGCACCTTAAGAACCAAGTCCATGAGTGTCACACCCCCGAACCAGACGGCGGAAACGTCCGAGGGCTGTCGTGACTTAATTGAATACCATAACATTGAATATATATGGAACATAACAACATTCGTCACCATGCATTAATATAGTACAACCGATAAAGTTTACATGAAGTACATTGTTTAAACATTACATTCCCAAAAATAAATTGTTCGACTCGTTAATAAGTAAGCTGCAAGCCATCACTTGGTACATTTTTCCTTTGAATCACTGGTTACCTGAGAATACAAGTATTTTGAAAAACGTCAACATGTGAAATGTTGGTGAGTTCATAAGCGGTATTTGAAAAGCAATGTTTTGTATCATTTTGAAAACCACTAGAAAATCCGATATTTTCTGAAAAGAGCTTTTGAGAACGTTTGTGAAGATCCATAGGTATGCTTGTTTGTTTCTATAGTTGTAAGAAAAATGTTCATCAAAATTGTGTGTATTGAAAAACCCTAGGAAAACCCGATGTTTTCCTAATTCTTTGAATTCCATGAAGTTAAAGATATAACCGTTGCAGAGTGTGAAGTCATTAATCCCAGCGACATCGGATTATTTTTGCGCATGATTAATTGCTATAAACACGCGTTACACAAACGACCCGTTTATAACTATACTAACGATCCCGTAGGCGTCGTCCATACTAATCACGTTATCCGACCGCCCTGACTTCGAGTAATCCCACATCCGAAGAGAAAGAGGACACGAAGACCCCGATGACTCCATTAACCGGTTGGGGATAAAAAAAAAAGGTACGAGGGGCCCTTGACCCGCCTCGCATAAAATACCGACTTTACTAGCAATACCATAGGACCCTTGAAGACTAATAGTATAAATGCCATTGAAAGTCCTTTTACGCTGTGTTAGATCATGTAAGACCCAACAACTCGTAAGGTAGAAGTCTTCGGGCCTTAAGATGAGGTCATTGGGCTAGCCAGGCCCAACAAACAAGATTTTACACTTTGGGGCCCAAAGATGGTGCGTAGACGTCTGTGCACTCTCACGTGTGTATTGAATTACCAAATGTTTTCGTGTATGAGTCGAGTTATCGTTGTGTTAGTAGTTTCGAAATTATTATTGATTCGAGACCGAATCAATTCGTTTAACAACGATTTTTGGTATTGTTGTGTATTGTGTCGGTAGTCGCGGTGCCAATATTTGATCAAATTGCGTGTATTGAATTAGCCTTGAACGTTTTCTGTTTTCAGCCCCTCATTGTTTGTAAAATTTACTTTTTCCACCCTCTAATTAAATAACTTTCCGGTTTGGTCCTTAAATCATTTTTCTTGACATTTTAACACCAAAAATTATTGAAATTAATATTTTTCAGCATATTTTTCATTGAAAACAGTTTAAGTCCCTAAAATTGCAGTTTTCTCGGTTATAACCCTTCTTTTTTGCAGTTTTTACAATTTTGGCCCCAATTGAAAAAATTTTGCAACTTTGGTCCTTTTTAAATTGTAAAAGCATTTTAAACCTTTGAAAAGTACTTGTAACACTAGTAGTCCACTGTTTTACAGAAAAACACAGTTTTGGCCCTCCAAAACAGAAAATTTCACATAATAGGCCCTATTGGGCCGAAATTGTCATTTTTAGCCCATTAAGCTTGAAATTTATGTTTTTAATCCTCCAAAAGAGTATATTTTCAGAAAATACATTATGGAAACTGTTTTGACTCATCTCACCCATCAGATTTCGAAATATTTCATTTTGGGCCCTTCAACTTTGTATTTTTAACATTTATGTCTAAAAAAAATGAGTTTTTAGCCCAAAGTATGTATTATTAAGCCACTTAGCTATTTTTCTTGGTATACTTTGTATGTAGTAGTATGTTTTATGTTAGTATCATTTAACATAAGTATATTTCGGTTTTTAGTGATTTATGACTAGATCCAACATCATAATCATACCAAACACACATATAAGCATAGAAATCATACAAGGCATACACATAATGTTAGATCTACACCTTTGCTTGTATTCTCCCCCACAAAAACTTATAAAAACCGAAAATAAGGGGGTATGAAGCTCACCTTAGGGTTTGGTTTCGGTTTTGGAGGAGAAATGGAAGAAAATTTGGTGATTTTCGGCCTAAGCAACCTTTTCTTGATGATCTCGAGTTTGAGAGGTTCTAAGACACAAGATTATGCTTTCATATGAGTTAAGGAGAGATTTTTGGATGTAAGAAGAAGTCTAAAGTATGGATCCAAGTTTCAACTTACCTAGATGATGATTTTTGTGAAGGATTCTCCTTGGAATGCTCTTGAATCTTCGAAATTTAGTGAAGAGAGTGGAGGGTGTTCTTGAGAGTGTTTGATAAGCAAAAATGATGGAAGTGTGTGTGTGTGTGGGTGCTTTCGGCCGAAGGAAAAAGAGGGAGGGAGAAGAGAAGTGAGTGAGGTGATGTGTGCATGGAGACATGAGTTAGTGCATGGAGATCCAAGGGGTAATAATGAGGTGGCAATCCATAAGTCAACTTCTTCCTCTTGGGCTTGTCTTGGGCCGAAATTTGGAAAGAAAAGAGAGTATTGGGCTTTAATGCCCCTAAGCCCAATATTAGAGTTAGGTTTGATGATTGTAAGATATAAGTGTGATTTTTATACTTTGTTGGGCTAGTTTAAGTTAATTATGGTTCATAACTTTTAATTCATTTCATTCTAGGCCCAACATAGCCAAAAATATTGAAATAAATAAATGTGTGTCCAATTAGAGTCCATTTAAGGGTTCTAAGCCCATGATAGTCAAATTGGAAGCTTATTGGTCCATTTGGGCCCAACAAGGAAGTCCTAGTCCAAAATGGACTTAAACGAGGACTTCTAGGGTTTCCAATTTCTTGATGACCATTTGTAGTACTTGTATGATGTATTTGATTGAAGTTTTTGATGTCATAATAATAGGTATCACACATGCTCTTAAGTTTTTGATTCAACCTTTACTTGAATGTAGTGATTACAAGACACAAAATTTCTAGTTGTGACAATGAGTTTTTATTCTCAGCCTCCACAACAGCATATGCCAAAGGATATGTACAGTTATTTCCATCAAGACCCTAAACATAGTGAAGGAGTTAGTAATTTAAATAAAATGGAATAAAATGACATAAGATATGTGTTTACATCTTACCACTGCTGTGAGTATCATTCCAGGATAAGGCCCTTTCATAAAAGTCTCATCCAAACCAAGATAATTTTTTTACCAGCTAGAAAACCTTTCTTTAATGGCCCTAGACAGATGTATATCCGTTTGAAAGTTCTGGTCTTAGAAGATGGGTTTGGCTCACTTTCGACCTCTATCTTAACTGTTGTCCCTGGGTTTCGAGTGTGAAGTTCTTGAACATAGTCTCGTAGTGTAGTATATTGCCCTGCATAATCGCCCCTTACTTGATTCAATGCTTCTGTTTTAGCCCTAAATACCTTCATCTTCAAAATATCTACCTGGTATTCACGTTGAAGTTGTTCTTGTAAAGCTCGTGTAGGGACTGTAGGGTTGCTTTCAATCTGTTGCACAATTTTCTTTGACAAGAACTTGTAGGTACAAGCTTTCACATTTCTTGTTTGTAGACATCTATGCTCTTTTTCGTAGGTCTTGATCTCCTAGTCAACATCTTGTTCCCACTTGCTAGCATAAAGTACCCATGGACAGTTGTTTTCTTCACTTTCTTTATTGCTTTGACTAGGCCCACATGGGTCAAGTTGACCAAGGTCTGGGATAGTACCTTTACAAATAGCTTTTACTCTGTTTTTTTCATTTTTTATGAAGTCTAGTTCCCTCCTTGTCTCCACAGCATGTTGTCTTATTGCATTTTTCATATCTTCACATGAGGTGAATTTTTTGGTACACATAGAATGGATCACTAACTCTTGATTCACTGTTTTCCATTGCCCTTTGGATTGCCTTAATTGACTTTCTTCTCTTGTTTCTCCCACCTTCATCAAATGATGACTCATATAAGAATACCTCATTGTTTACAACCTCAATATCATCAATTTCCCTTGTTTATGTTTCCTCAACATTTGACCCTCCAAGATCACCCACCCACTCTATATCTTCATCAATATTTAATAAAACTCATTCATGTCTATCTCAGGTTCATCTAGGAGGTTATCTAAGTCTACTAAGAACTGACTATCATCACTATCACCACTATCACCACTATCATCAACATCATCTCTATTGTCACTTTCATGAGTAATCCCTCCAGTTTATTCATTTAGAAATTCATCAAATTCATCACATATACCTTGTGTTTCACATTGGGCATCAATTTGGGCACTTTTAGTTTCTTTTGTTGGCACAAAATTTGGTTTACTTGATCCAATACAATCCCATGTTTCAGTTTCCTTCCATTCCAAAAAAAGCCTTCTACTACAAGAAGGTTGATCAATGATTTCTTCTATCCTAACTTTACTAGGGGTAGATGACATTGTATATGTATGCAACTTTGTTTTACCATGTTCAACATAAACTTCAATCAGTTTATGTTGACCCACGTATGTACCCAAATGGTTAATGTCACTGTCACTAGCCAATGCAAACAACCCAAATTCCAAATCTGAAAAGGGTCTTTTGAAGTGGTAATAAAGCAACTTACCCTCCTCAACACAGCCTAGGGTCTCTATCATCTCATCAATATCGTGCACACAAAACTCATCAATGTCCAATAGATCAATGTATCTTTCTTTGCCCTTAACGTACCTCCTTCCAGGAAACTTCGTAAACTCTCCACCATAGAATAATCTGATGGAGAAGATGGCTGGATGACCAGCTGTAAAAGAGAAAGCTTCAACTTATTAGCTTGAAATTTGTAAGTGATAAATTTAACTTTTTAAATTAAGGGGTTACCGTAATGGTTTTCAACGTCTATTTCTTCCATGTTTGCTCTAATTCTCCAACCCACCATTGTTGCTTCGATGATTCTTGCAAAATTTTGAGGAGTTAGGGTTTCTACTCGATTTTGATGAGTTACAAATTAAGTGAGAGAGAGAGAGAGAGTGTGTGTGTGAGACGGAGTTGATCGTAAAATGATCAGAATGAAGAAACGATTGGCATCGCATTTAGGCGCCATGTATAAAATGACGAAAATACCCCTCATGTGCGAAGCACGTGAGGGACTTAACGTTTGCAATTGACGACTAACGGACCCAGGGACCAGGTGGGTAATAAAAAGAAAACTTGGGGATGGTCCGAGTGCAAATCAAAACATAGGGACCAAACGTGCAACTTTAGCCAAACCACAGGGACTATTTCAGTAATTTGTTCATTTATTTAAAAAGGGATAATTTGAGTCTTTTAAAACAAAGTAATATTTTTGTTTGCATCTTAATTGTGGTATTGGAGAGAAATTCACAAAATGGTTTTACTTTTCCTCGAATTCAAAGAAGACAAAATTGATGCCGACTGTTATAGGTCTGAATCCATTGTCTCATCTCGACTAAACTTCAGAGGCATACCGTATTGGACTAGACAAAATCTAATCATTCATTAATTCCAAAGATCACAAAAACATGCTCAAACAACTTTTGGATGAAAAAGACAAAGAACAAATTAAATTTGAAATCGTGTAGAAATTAGACTCGTTACGCACCAAGTTAAATTTAGAAAACAAGCTTAATGTAGAAAACGTATCTGAATTTGTCGATGAAAGTGATATGAGTAAAATCTCTGTCAAGGATGAGGTTGACTATTCTGAGTTTATTAAAAATGAATATGTCCCTACGAAAGTCCTAATTTCATAGGATTCAGTTGATTTCGCACGTATTTCAAAAGATCAACCTGAAGTTTTAAAAATCGAAAGCGACAATTTTTCCAACAATCCAAACTATTCCTAACCAGGTTTTTGCAACAAAAGGACTAGAAAAAAACCAAATAGTTGAATTAAGGTCCATGGTCGATGATGACAATAAAGATAAATGTGATGAGTACTTCTGGTCTGCTCCAATCGACAAGGCAGACAAAACCAAAGGTCTATCTGAAATAACCTCGTGTAGAACAAGGAGTAGATACGTAGCAGAGCCCCTAAACAAAATTAATTCAAGCTACGGAAAGGGAAGTCCAGTTGGAACTAAGAGTGTTCCAAGTGATACATCATCAATTCGGACAGTAACCCCTACCAAAAAGTTAAAACTTAGGGATAATGTTCACAAATCCTCAGAGCAGTTTGCAGCTCAAAAATGACAAAGAAATGATAGATATAACAAGAATCATAAGGAAAGAAAGCAGTACTAGCAGTCAAGGGATCCAGACTTCGTTCATAATGAAAAATTCCATCCATATGCGAAAGTCTCGTTATCTATGAATCCTAAGGTTTCGTACCATAAAGCTTCTCAAAAATCATCTTTTCAAAATCATGCATCTAAGGTTTTGCAAGACATGAAAGGCAAAGGAAAGATGGTTTCGCAGTCTGAAGTTCCTCTAAAAAGATCTGAAGCAGACCTTAAGCAAGCTGCGAAAAAGAATGTTAAACAACAAATCCAAAATAATCAAAAGAAATCATCCACCAAGGATGCTAACTTAAAAGATAATAGGATTACTATTTTTAAAATCACAAAGGAAGAAAAAACAACCTTAATAAAAGGAACATATATGGTTGATCCTTCTATTTCTTTTCCTGTGAAAAAATCACGACGGCCCAAACAACTTTGGGTTCGTAAATCTGCTTAACTTTCATAGGTAATACGTGACGAGCAGTTTGAATCTGAATGGTATATCGATAGTGGCTGCTCATCTCACATGACAGGAAGGAAGGAAGAGTTGCGAGAGTACAGAGCACTAAAAGATAGTGGAAGAGTGAAGTTTGGCAATAAATCACTTAGAGAAATTAAAGGCTATGGGATAATCACAAATGGCGAAATCTCAATTTGCAAAGTGGCTTATCTTGAAGGCTTGCAACATAATCTAATTAGCGTTTCGCAGCTAGTGGTTAGCACGGGATTAAAAGTTTTATTTGACGATGAGGGCTCTGAAATCATCAAAATAAAACAAAGAACGTCCTCCTAAAGTCTAAATGAAAAGGAGAAATGTTTCCTCTCAATAAGAAACCAATCAAAGAGAAGCCAGTTATCTGTCTAATAGAGAAAGTTTCATCTAACGATAGTTGGTTATGACACCATAGACTTTCGCACCTAAACTTCAAAGACATCAACAAGTTAGTTCATGGTGATCTTATGCGAGGACTACCACTATTGAAGTACGATAAGGAACATCCTTGAGTAGCCTATGAAATTGGGAAGCATAGCATAAAGAGTCATCTAACCATTATAAATACGAAAGTTATTGAACCACCATAACTTTTTCATATAGATCTGTGAGGTCCTTTTGCAATCAAAAGCATTGGTGGTAATAAATACATTCTCGTTATTGTAGATGATTGTTCTAGATTCACTTGTCGTTATTTTCTTAAGCAGAAATCTTAAGCCATTCCCAAGCTCAAAGATTGTATAAAGCAGATAGAGCTTCAACTGCGAAAGCTGGTTCGTAACATTCGTAGTGACAATGTGTTTGAATTTAAAAACCAAGCTTGAAGAATTTCTAACTGCAAAAGGAGTTTGGCAACAATTTCCAGCACATTCCACTCCAAAACGGAATAGGGTCGTTGAAAAGCGAAACAAATATTTGTGTGAGGCTGCAAGAACAATGCTCTCATCTTCGAATCTGCCACTCTACTTTTAGGTTGATGCAATTGGGACAACTTGTTTCACCCAAAATTGATCAATTCTCAACAAGCAATTTTCAGTCACTCCCTATGAAATCTTGAATAAATGAAAACCCAACGTTAAGTTTTTCCATGTTTTTAGGTCTCGTTGCTACATTTTCTACTCAAAAGAGCAACGAAATAAATTCGATGTGAAGGTTGATGAAGGTATTTTCTTGGGATATTTGTTGACCTTCAAGGCATATAGGGTTCTTAATAAGAAGTCCAAAACAATAAAAGAAACCTATTATGTCACATTCGATGACAATTATTTGAAGAGGTATCAGCTGACTGTGATTCAATCAAAGGAGATTTTCCCACAAGCGAATCAAGCACCTACTCCACTAGCCAATCTCTAAGACGAATTCATGCTTTTATTCGACGAGCCAGCGAAGGCCATTTCATCAGAGTCCAAAGCAGCAGACAATAAAGAGGATGAATTAAAGAAAATAATCAATGAAGCTGAAAAAGATCTAGAGAGTGAACCCTATAGTCCAAAATCACCACAAGCAACAAATACTCCATTGTTGGGGGAGGGTTCAACATCAGCGTATACACCTGACTCACCTATCTAAAGGGAAAGTTCTTCTCCTAGGATGAACCATGAAAGTCCATTAGATGGGGAGAATTCAATTCCTAAAATTGAGGATCTATCATCGTTTGAAGGGGACAATAAAGATATAAACAATGATTCGGATGTACAATTAGAATTCGAGGAGCTGAATGTTGAATTAGACCCATCTTATGATCCAAATTACCCTCCACTGACCAACTGAACCAGAGGTCATCCGAATACCCAAGTTATTGGCAAATCATCTACAAGAGTTCTTACGAGATCCGAACAAAAAGCGAAACAAACAACATTATTCTCTAAAGTGGAATTTTGCATGTTTAATTCATTTGTATCCAAGATCGAACCCAAAATCGTTAATGTTACTGTCGATCATTCTAATTGGGTGCAAGCAATGCAGGACCAGCTCAATGAGTTCGAACGAAACAAGGTTTGGAGGTTGATTCCTACTCCACCGGATGCATCTATTGTATTTTAAAATGGGTGTTTTGCAATAACCTGGATAAAGAGGGTAATGTGATTAGAAACAAAGTGAGACACGTTGTCAAGGGATATTCTCGGGAAGAAGGGATCGACTATGAAGAAACCTTCACCCCATTTGCGAGGTTCGAATCTGTTTGCGTCTTCTTGGCATATGTAATGCACAAGAACTTTGAAGTATTTTAGATGGATGTCCAATGTGCATTCTTGAATGGAGAACTTAAAGAGACGGTGTATGTGGAGCAACCACCTGGTTTTGTAAATGAGAAGTATCCTAATCACTGTAACATCCTAGGCAAAATAGTTTATGGTCTGAAGCAAGCTCCAAGAGTTTGGTACAAAACTCTCACTCGATTTTTAAAAATGTCTAAATTAAAACAAGTATCGGTTGACCCAACCTTCTTTTCTAAGAAAGAGGGTGACCACTTAATGGTTGTCCAAATCTACGTTGATGATATTATCTTCAGGTCAATTAATCCAAGCTTAACAACTGAATTCTAAAAGTTAATGAAAACGAAAATTAAGATGAGCTCCATGGGTCCAATTAACTTTTCCTTGGATTGAATAGTATATAGAGTCAGGACGAAATCATTATTAATTCAGAAGCTTACACGAAGAATTACCTTGCTAAGTTTGGGATGGTAGGTGACTCAAAGGTGAAAGTTCCCATGGCATTCGAAATAAAACTTACTCCATCTCTGGATAAACTGGCTGCAGACATGACACTTCATCGTCATATAATAGGTTCTTTAATGTATCTAACTGCTAGTCGACCAGATATCATGTTTTCCATTTGCTAGTGTGCTAGGTTTCAATCGAATCCTCAAGAATCTCACATGATGGCTGTCAAGAACATATTCTAATATATAAATCGAACGTCCTCACTTGGAATATGGTACCCTTTGAAATTTGGTTTTTTTGTGCTAGCATTTTCGGATGCTAATCTTTGAGGATGTGGGTTAGATAGAAAGAGTAATATTGGAGGATGTGAATTTCTAGATGGAAAACTTGTCAGTTGGCAATCCAAAAAGATAAACTATGTTTCCTTGTCAACAACTGAGGCTGAATATATTGCTGCTGCCTCATGCACTTCCTATGTCATATGGATTCAAAGTCAACTTCGTGACTATCGGTTGAATATGAAACAAATCCCATTATA